AATTTCATTTGATAAACACGTTTAGATTGAATGGTAATTTATAATCAGTCACAAGAACGTCGAATCTGAATCACTTGAAAAAAACACGGGGTGCTTAACTTTTTTCCAGGTGTATATTTCAACATGTTTAATAACCTTTGGTCAACTTAAAAAATCATATTAGTAATATCATAAATAATTCTGGTACACTGATTTATTCTCTGTTTCACCATGTTTAATCAGCTTTTTTCAAACGTAGTGCAATGGAAACATTAGTAATTGGTTTACTCATATATCTTTTGACATTTAATTAATAGAAATAGTACACCTTTTAAATCACAATTATTTATTATTGCAAAATAATGATTTTTGCTATAAGTTTCGACCACATTTGTTTGGGTCATCATCATCATAGACGAGACAACAGTATATACACTGTATTTAAAAACAACTTTCTTGGAACACATGGTGCATGTCAATTTGAAATTAGCATTCTATGCAAATGAAACAAATTTAATCTATACATGCATACATATATACATACAATACATAATTATCAAACAATATACAAAATATTGGATTTGATCAACAATCACACAATTGTTTCTGGTATCAATTCTTCATCACATCTCGTTGACAAAATTCATAGCTGATAAATCTGCTTTCTTATCTCCACAATATAAACACTGCATTAAAGATTCAATATATTTTGTTGATCAAATCCAGTCTTTAAAACTATTCCAGTATGGTTTCTTTAGGTATTGTATCTTTATTCACTTCAGTCCCATGACTAAGGCCATTAGCCATTTTGACGACAGGTTAACCCTCTTGCATGGGCTCAAACAACTGGACCAAGTTCATAATCCCAAAGTGACCATGAGTTTCCATACTATAGCTTCTAATATGTTTTGTGTGTATCTTCACAAAATTTGGCAGGTTTTCAGTAAATAAACAGTTTCATTAAGTATTCTTACTAAAAATTTATAGGTGAATATATGGAGTTATAATGTTGACTGCTCTGAGTGCAAAGTGATTTTCATGTTAAGATTAAATATACTTTTATTCTTCTGAACAATGTCAAATTTCATTTGCATAACCTCTAAAACCTTCTAAATAAATATTAAACATTTTCTGTAAGTAAAACTTTGTATTTTCTCTTCCTTAATTTTATATGCATTTGGTCAATTTAACTGACCTCATAACTACCATAAGAAATACAAAACCAATCTAAATTGTCCTTTTTTCTTTGTAGAATGACTGAAAATTATTTATACTTAAATTTTGTGGTTTTATTAGCTTTTGACTCATGTCTAATTAACAGCTCAAGTTACAGTATTGAATAATGTACTGCAAGAGCTGCTCACGAGCATACGTCATGAAGAATTACTATTATTATTTTTCATTTTCTTACCTAATCTAACCCAATAAGTTTCTAATTTTTACATTTTAGTGACTCTTATAATAATAAATAAAGAATATACATTAAAAACAAGAAATATGCTACATATGTGTGTCCTCTTGTTTTCTTTTGCTGTCGATTGTGGATGAAAGTTAAACTTTTTTTTTTATATACTAATGGTACTAGTACACTAAATCATTTTTATTTAATTAAATAATGCACCTAAGAACATAGAATAATAACATGCACAAAGCAAACAATGTTCTATAGCTAACATAATTTATCTGGCTTTCTAACTATGCAATAAGAAACCTTAAAACTTTAGCTAAGTTTGTTGATGTGAACATCTTGAGATAAATTTTCAAACTGGAGAAGAAACAGATAATACTCTTAAAGAAAACAATATAATGTATCACATGATAGACTAAATAAAACCTTGGTTTTCTATTAGTTATAAATAATATATCAAATGTAAGCAAAAATTACTGGCAATTTGTGAAAGAGAGCATTTGACAGATGGATGTGGCAAATTAGTCTAACTTTCTAGTTTATGACTCAGTAAACAGATAAGATTGAAGGCTATAAAAATTATGCTTTGCCTTAGTAATACTTAAATTATAAAGAGTAATTTACATTAAATTCTGTACATTTTAGAAGGGTAGTAAATAAATTACAGACGAGGGAAGACCTAGAGAACAAATATCACAGTTCTCATACTAAGAGAGATTGTAAAATAAATTTGTTTAACTTAGTCTTCTTTCTTTAAAAGAGAACTTAACAGCTTTGGACAAAAATGGAATTTATAAATAAAGTGTGATTACAGCAAAGTCTATAATTGGATAGACAATTTGTAAACTAAAATGCCATTTGAAAGAACACAAATTGATGTTATAAATAAAAATTTCACTTTGTCATGTGTAATAAAACATGCCATTAACCATAACCACCATATCCTATGGGATGAAACTGAATTTGTTCCATCAGTAATTACCCTGAACTGAAGATAAGTGTTGAAAGAAATAATTAAACACAGAGATTTTTATTTAAATAAAGACAAAGGTCCTGGAATTTCAGCCCTCCAGCTGTACCTGAATTAAGATTATATAGACATGTATGTATATATATATTTATTAATTTATTTATTGACAATGCATCATTTGTTCTCATCCATTTTCATTCTGCCTGATGATGACCCAAAAGAATGTGGTCAAAATGTATAGTAAAATATTTTTCAGTGACATTCATAGGGGATGGCTAGGTGGGCTCAAGCTCCTGCCTTCCTCATCTTATGCCCCAAAAGTGCCCTTTTTCTTGATCATAAAAAATTGTCCACAACTATTGAAAGACATGCTTGATTCCACATCTTACTTGTGAGTTAGAAAAAAAATTCAGTTTTAAAATAAATGACACACAGGGACTTGTAGATCTTTACCATAAAAAATGATTGTGGTATGCTATTAAGTATTAATACACAATAAGTTACTAGTTAGTTTTAGATTTTAGAAGTGTTTACAAGACTAAATGAATGGGAATAAAAGAGGATCTCTGTCTGCTTCTCGTGGCTTTCTACCGTATGTGTACCAGGTGCAACTCATAGTCTCTCTTAACACCCCCATCCCAAAAAAGTCATACCTTACAATGCTTGAAAAGTGCCCTTTCCTTCTCAACGAGTCCCTCGTCTATTAACATCCTCTGCACATTGTTTATTTTACAATGATAAATAATTGTGGTTTAAATGGTAAAACATTATTAGATTATGTATTCTAGAGATAAACAACCAGATTCAAGAATGAAAATGTTTACTGGCTTATTTATGCAGCTATCCATTTTCTAACATAAACTTTTAAAGTTTATGTTAAAAAGTGTCTTTCCATTGATTCCTAATGTGAGTTACATATGGAACGTGCTGCTGGTTCATGTCAAACTTTTTAGTTTGCTAACTAGTTTACAAAGAATTTATGGAAAAAAAGCTATATATATAAACAAACTGCAATATTACAAGCAGTTACACATAGACAAGCTTCTGGATTATATGTCCTAATATCTATATTAATATCTGTCTTAGGAATATAATATGATTTAAAAGTACCATGGGTATATGATTGATTAGTTACTTCATTACAGAACAACTATGATAAATCTTATCTCTGGTTGATTTTCACTAAACATATTCATCAGATATTTAAAAGTTTCTTTCTTTTTATTACAGTGGTCTTTTTGATAATGTTTTTGGTATCTGAACTTTTATTCCACTGTTACATCACAAAAAATATCCTACCTCAGATGGGAGAGTATCATCCACTAAAATATTAGGTCCCGTAACATCTGGGCCAAATGCCCAGATAGATCGAGCAGCTAGCAAGTCCCAGTCATACTTTGTCTGAAAGAACTCTCCAAGTCGTTTACGATTCCATGTAATTTGAACTACCTCATTTTCAATATCCTCTGCTAGACCCTTTTCTAATGGTTCTGCTATCATAGTTACTTTGTTCCTTATGTGATAAATGAATAAAAGATGTAAAAGAAAAAAGGTTATACCTTTCAACACCTGATTAATAACTATTACAACTTATAAATTAAGTTACTTACATTATACTTCAAATGGTAAAATTACAGATAAAATTGAAATGTTTTGTTCTCAAAGAAAACGAAACATCAATTAGCATGTTTAAAATCTAATTTTGAACAATTCTTACTTTTTATTTGGTGTCTCTGCAAAACATTTCAGTGAAGATGTTTCTACAACTGTCTCACAGAAAGAGACAACTGGATCAGCCACCTTGATATCTGAATTAAAAAAAAAATGCAAATTCTATGCATAAATATACTTCCTGTTATGAAATATTTCACTTTCAATATTCCCAAAAATAAAATTTTTGTAAGTTATTATTACTGTTATTTCTTAAGTGCTAAAACATAATGTTTGCATGGTTTGAACTCACCTATTTCTGAGTACATCTTTCTCAAGTCATGCATGACACAGTCCAAGTACAGTTCTCCTGTTCCCAAAACAACATGTTCACCTGATTCTTCCACCTACATGATTAAAATAATTACATTAACCACACACTTCAAGTTCTCTAAGGCTACATACGTACATGCAAATTGCATAGCTGACTGTTCTTCTTAACACTCTCAATACGGGCTCAATCAATTTGACCGACCACGTGACCTTTTTGTATTCATTTAAAGTATTTACAGGTTTAATACTTATAACCCTCAATATAGTGGGTATATCTTCACAAAATTTGGCAGTCTTTCAGTTAATATTACAATTCTTTCAAATACAAAAATATTTGCACATATTTCTTATTGAAGTATTTTTAATAAAATAAAATAAAGATTTGTCCATAAATATATTGAATATTTGTTTTCAATAGTCTGTGTGCAAAGTAACTTTCATGTTAAAATTAAAAATACTTTTCCTCATCTCAAAAATTTCAAATTTCCTTTGTGTAATCCCTAAAACTTCCTAAATGCATTTCAAACATTTTTTTTTTCAGTAAAACTTTTTAGTTTATCTGTTATTTTCTCTATCGCAAAACAGGATTGGTCAATTTGACCGACCTTGTACCAACCAAAAGAAAAAAAAATTGAAATAAACCTAAATTAACCTTTTTTCTTTCTGATTTTCTATTCCATAACTCTGTAACCAAACAAAATTGAAGAGTATAAAAATATGGTTTGTCTGAGCAATAACGATTTTATAGAGTTATTTACGTTTAACTTTGTACATTTTCAAGGGTAATGATATGCTAAAACAAAATGTGTCACGTGGGTCAGGATTTTTTCTAAACATTCCCTTGTAGAATTAAAAACTTAAAACTTGTATACTATTAAAATATGGATTATTAGCTAAGATTTTATGCTATTATAATTGGTATAACATTAAAAAAAAGTAGTATAATGAAATTTTGTATATAAGACACTAAAACCTTGTGTCATGCGCAGTAAAGGATACCTGGGGCGATAGGGAATTTTCCCCAGCCTCCACTGCTTCTACATATTTCTTTAAGTCTGGCATTATTTTAATAGCCTTCTCTGTCAATGACACATTCTCCAGTCATTTTGTTTTGCAAAACTTGAGTGGCTTGGGTGGCTATGACACATCTGTGGCTTTAGTATAATCTTCACAACGAGCAAGTTCTTAAAAACTGGCCCACCTTCAAACCTGAAGAATCTGCTCCTTTCTTGACTGTCACATGTAAATTGTGACAGCTACAACTTCTTAAGTTTAGTAGTACTGAATTTACATAATTTTCAATTTCCATTTTAAGTAGGTCATGGAACTTCTAATTAACAATGGGCCGATTCATCAAAAGTTGAAGTAAAGATTTCCATACAAGTCCCTCTACTGATTTATAGAAAACCTCTACCATGTCCTCCACTGTAGAATGCCTCATAAATTCTTAAGTGTAGTAGCATGTAACTACAGGATCATTATATCAGACTCTTAAGTGTATATCCATTTATTTAGTTATATTTGAATATTCAAGCGTTTATCAAACAGTAGAACATATCATGAGTTATAACTGTTTATTCTCTCAGAAATCAATGCCTTGAAATGTGGTGCAGTACCACAAACATTCAAATAAGCATTTCTTTTCTCCATGCTGGGATTTGCTAGCCATTTCAATGTCTGGAAATATCATCTGATACTGATTTATGTTACAATTAAAAAATAAGGATAGTTAGTAATGTATTAATTGCAGAAAATTATGGTTACTGTTCAAAATGAGTCAGATCTTTATCTTGTAATTAGTTAAAATGAAAACCATTTCAGCATTAACATGGTATAAAAACCCAATTAATTATTAAAAGATGTAACAATATGTCAAATTTTAAAAAAATTATTTTTTTACTTTCATTCATAATTTGTATTTCCACTTACACCCTTTTGGTCTGTACTGTATATGTCAACATTTTATCAAATCTATTATAGGATACATACTCCTGTTTTTTAAAATACAGGTCACCCTTGAGTTTTAATTGCACTACCCAAAATTGGATTTGTTGATACATCAAGGCCTCTCACTCTGTCAATCCTTTTTCTTTCAACACTAGATGTAGAGAAGATCATTTGTGGCTGTGACTTCTTGTCATCAACCTTGACCCTTGAATAGACCATCACCAAGTGTGCTGTTATTCAGAAACCTTCTCATGTCTGTTGTTCAAGTTATTTCTTTACTCTATCTTTCCAAAAGAGACTGATGTTTGCTGCTCTTACTGTGGCAACATAACACTATCATCCATATTGAACAAATCCACCTTTGTGCCATGCAAAATACATTTTGCTCTCTTGTTGTCTTCTCAGGCCACCAATGATTTGTACCTTTTGCTACTCAGTCAAAGTTCACTGAACCTGCACTTGTCAAACAGGAATGATTAACATAACTCAGCTCTAGGTAACATGTAGGAATTATCAACTTGTCACACATGAATGGTGAACATACCTCACCTCTAGGTAACAAGTACAACTTACTAACTTTTCACACAGAAACAGACCACATAGCTCTAAGTAAAAAGTAGGACTTATTAGATTTATTACACAGGAATTATTAGCTCTAGGTAACAAGTAGAAATTACTAACTCGTAACACAGGAATGGTGACCATACATGAGCTCTAGGTAACAAGTAGGAATTATCAACTTGTAACACAGGAATGGTGAGCATACCTCAGCTATAGGTAAAGTGTTAGAATTAATATTATACATTAAACCTATCCTTTACTGCACATAATACAAAGTTTAAGTGTTTTACACTCAAAATTTTGTCAAACTACTATTTGTTTATGTTATACATTAGTATAGCATAAAATCTTAGCTAATGATCAATATTTTAATAGTATATAAGTTTAAAGTTCTTAATTTTATTAGGCAATATTTTAAAAAATCCTGAATTTTCCCTAGTGTGGTATGTGACTCATTTTCTCTAGGCATCTCCTCTTTTCTTATCCACCATCTCTCCAATAAGTATGAAATTCAACGTAAATTACTCACTATAAAATCATCATTGCTCAGACAAACCATAATTTTTATAGCCTTCAATTTTGTTTGGTTACAGAGCTATCAAATAGAAAATCAGCCCCTCCTGCCACACCCACCTGTCAGATTCTCTCTTCCAGGATTTGTTAATAGTCCTCTTTTACATTTAATTATATATTAACTATAACCAATAGAAAGTCAAGGTTTTCACCTACCAAATAATGTATTGTATAACATTGAGTTCTGAACAGATAATCGTCAATTTCACTCAGAGTACAAAATACATTCCCGTGAGAAAACTAAGGACTAGCTTGGACGAATTTGTAATGACTCTTGTCGCATAGTTACAACGCCAGAAAAATTTTGAGAGTTAGAGGAAATAGACTATTTTTTGCATGTCATTGGTCTATGTTATTTGGTGCATTATTTAATTACATAAAAACTATTAAGTGCATTACTACCATTAGTATAAAAAAGTATTGACAGTAAGAAAAAAGAAAATTGGGTAACTACTTTATTTCTTGTTTTTCATGTTTATTCTTTATTTATTATTCTAAAAGTAATTAAAATGTAAAAAATAGGGATCTTTTTAGGTAAGTTAAGATTAAATTAGGTAAAATAAATAATAATATAATAAAAATGTTTCATAAGGCATGCATGTGAGCAGCTCATAGTAGCTTGTGAGTAATGCAATTTGATAGAGTAATGTGATCTGCATGTTCCCAAAGTGATTTACAACTTATAATGGTGCAAATAGTAGTTAGACATAGTTCAAAGGGGCAATAAAAAGGGTAATAAAACAATAAAATATAATTACACACTATATTGAAAGTTAGAAGTATTAAATCTGCAAAGATTTTAAACAACTACAAAGAGGTTATGTAGTAAGTCAAATTGACTGAGCCCATGTTGAGAGGTTAAATGGTGCCAATACTTCAGCCCTAAGCAACAGGTAGGACTTACTAGTTTGCCACACAGGAAATGTGCACAAATCAAAGCTCTAAGTAACATGAAATAATTAATAACTAGTCACACAAGGGTGGTGAACACATCTCACCACTAGGAATAAGGTAGGAATTACAAACCTGTGACAAAGGAATGGTGAACATACCTCAGTTCAAGGTAACAGGTAAGACTTAGTAACTTGCCACACAGGAATTGTTCACATACCTCAGCTCTAGGGAACAAGTAGGATTTACTAACTTGCCACACAGGAATGGTTCACATACCTCAGCTCTAGGTAACATGTAGTAATTAATAACAATTCACACACAAAGTGAGATACATACCTCAATTTCAAAAAATGTCTAGAACTTGTTAACTTGTCACATAGGAATCATGTACATACCTTGGTACTAAGTAATGGGTAGGATTTGTTAACCTTTCGCAAGCCATCTAACATCTTTGGAAGTTCAGATGGGTTGACAGGCTCCACAGCAATTTTAATTACAGATTGTGTGTTGAATTTTAATGGTCGAAATATGTACAGTTCATCTTGAGTTCCAATGTCACAAATAGTAGCACAGGAATTGTTCACATACCTCAGCTCTAGGGAACAAGTAGGATTTACTAACTTGCCACACAGGAATGGTTCACATACCTCAGCTCTAGGTAACATGTAGTAATTAATAACAATTCACACACAAAGTGAGATACATACCTCAATTTCAAAAAATGTCTAGAACTTGTTAACTTGTCACATAGGAATCATGTACATACCTTGGTACTAAGTAATGGGTAGGATTTGTTAACCTTTCGCAAGCCATCTAACATCTTTGGAAGTTCAGATGGGTTGACAGGCTCCACAGCAATTTTAATTACAGATTGTGTGTTGAATTTTAATGGTCGAAATATGTACAGTTCATCTTGAGTTCCAATGTCACAAATAGTAGCAGTCTTTACAATCGGTTGATCAATTCCTTCAATGAGCACCCAGTTTCCAGCTGGTACTCGATCGACTTCAATTTTATATCTATAAAATAAAGGGGGAAAAAAACCACTGAAAATAAGAATTTTCAGCAAACATTGAAAACAAAAATTACAATAAGCTTACAAAAAAGATGGTTTCTCTAACATACAATGTGAAGGAATAAGAAGTGGATTTAACCATTTAGTTAATACCTAGTCTGTAATTCAAAAACATGCTGTATCCCATTCTAAACAAAATTAAGATACTTGTCTATTAACTCTTTCAGCATGGGCTCAGTCCTTCAGACCGACCTCGTAAGCATTTTGTGCTTGCTATAGTTTTCATGCTATAACTTTTAAATTAGTAAGTGAAATTTGGCAGATAACCAGTAAACATTACAATGCTTTCATTCACAAAATATCAATTTTTTTTCTGTAAGTCTTAAGGTTTGTAATGCAATGTTTTTCTCATGTCTTTTTTTTATTTTCCCATGTTGCCTATCTATCATGCAAAGTAACATTCATTTTAAGATAAAAAATACTTTTATGCATCAAAAAAATTTTAAATTTGACACACGAAATCTTTATAATGTCCAGATGGTTATCAAATGTTCTTTAAAAAAACATTTTATATTTTATCTGTTATTAAACTCTGTACGGGTTCGGTAAATTTGACCAATTTCCCAACCACCATATAAAAATTAGGAAATAAATATAAATTATGCCTCTTTCATTCTAGAATGAGCACATATTATAAAACAAAAACATAAATATTTAGACTAAATAGCTTAAATATCATAACATTATACACTTATATATATTTAATACTTTATTATATTGACATTTCAACCGTGCCTGGCT